TAGTATAAGCAGTGCTGAGCTGTTCAACAATTAATACATTAGTGTTATCAACATTATTTTCATCCTAAATGCAAAGCACACCACCATTCTATCAACTGTGGAGAAAATTAACACTATCCCAGCCAGAAAGAGGACATCTAGTCACATAAATAAATAAATAAATAATAAAAATAAAGGTGAAGTGCTTCTTTTGCTTTTCTTGTTCTAGTGAAAGGGAAAGGGACATCAGGCTTTTATTAGAGCCTGAAGAAAATTAGAGCCTTCTTTTTTAAGTATCAGTACTGAGGTCTCTAGACTCATTCATGGCCTGTCAGAGTAGAGACAGTGAAAGGACAAAGCACATGGAAGGAGGACATACTATTTTTCTCTCTGATAACTTCTAGTTTACGCATAAAATCATACCTAAGGCATGAAACCTTAAAATAAGTGTTATTTCTCATTATTGCTATATGATAGTTATTATGAAGACAAAGGGACAACCACAGGAAAATTAACCTTAGTGAAGTCAAGTGAAATGAATAATATTCAAATATTCATACTGATTCACAAAGTTTCACAATATTATTCAATGAATATAAAATGTGGCATTCCAGTGACATAGCATAAGACTGTCATCTTCATTTCTCAGTGACAAGCCAAAGAAAAGTTGTGCCTGTAGTCACAAAAAAAATCTAGCAGAAAGGTAGCACACAGTCTGTCTCCAAAATCCACTGGCAGCCATTAGTCATGGTCCATGTCTTCTCTCTCTAGTGTTCTAGTGTGTAACACTGTGTGATGCTGACTTAAAAACAAGCCTGTGAGATTTGCTTTCATATATTGTAAACTTAGATGCAGTAAAAAGAAATGTTGTAGAGGCACAAGAGCTTTTTGGGGAGAAGGAGCATTTAAAAATAAAACTTTTTTTTTTTTTTCCCCATGAAGCATGGACTGCCAATCATCTTTTGGGGGGGATGTTGCAATATTATCTTCTTGGTATTTATAGCTTTTCAGTCCAAAATTCTTTTTCTTGGAAGTTTGGTGGTTTGTTTTTTGTCTGTTTTGTTTTGTTTTTTAATGAACAACGGTCATATATTAAATAACGGAGTTTTCTTCTGTTTCTGCAAGTTTAGAAAACAAAATAGACTTTCCAGAGCTCCCTTACAATGTTCAGATGTGCTGTTGGTCTTTATGTTGATTTTTTTTGCTTTTGTTGACTCATGATTTAGACTCATTCGTAGGCCAATATACTTTAACAGTACTGGGATGACAACTGAACGAGGTTTAACAGTGAAAATATTAAAGGAAATTGAGTAATAATGGAAGAAAGCCATACAAGGATAGGTAAAAAAAAAAAATAGTACCTGAGAAAAATAAATAAATAAATAAATAAAATATACCCAAGACAATAGGGAATATTTCCCTAAATAAGGAATAAAGTTAGTCTTGTAAAAGTTAGTAAAAAAAGTTAATCTTAGTAAAGTTAGTCTTGTAAAAGAAAAAAGAGGAGGGAAGGAAGGAAGGAAGGAAGGAAGGAAGGGAGAACAGAAAAGGAAATTATTTGAACATGAGGTCTCTTCCAACCTAGAAATTCTGTGAAATTCTGTGAAATTCTGTGAAAGTTTTTCAGTAGTGGTGAACTGAGCAAGTTGATAATTTTCAAATGATCATGATGCAAACCTGTGTACTTGGAGTAATCAAGTTTAGTATGAATACTTAAGACAAATACTTTGTTTAAAATAACAAGAGGTACTGATATAAGAATGATTTATTTTATATCTCTGTGTGTTTATGAAAAGGGGCAATAAGGTGTTTTCTGAGTCTATATTGCATTATTAGGACTATTATGTGACAATCAACTAAACAACCTAGGCAAAAAAAAAAAAAAAAAGTATAAAGGAAATGCTAACCAGTTTATAGTCACCTTAATAAATCTCTGTCATATGCACAGCAATGCTATATTATGAAGAGCTGCACATTCAAAGTAGTAATTTCTACGCTGTCATTCAGCCTCCAGCACTGACAACATATATCCTTCACTATTTGCATATTTTTATTCATTCCATTTCAAATGTGACTAGAAAACATAGCTGACATTGAAATATTCCTACCTTCAAAATGACTGACTCATTCCATTGTCATATACAACTGCGTTTCACCAAATTTGAAGCCATTGCAAAATCACCTTAAATAAATGCTCCAGATACAGTGATAAATTCTCTTGAAGTTCATAATTTTTTACAGTTCTTTACTTACTGTAAAAAAAAAATAATAAAAATAAATAAAAAGTAAAATAAATAAAAAATAAGTCTACAAACGCAGACATTAATTCAGAATAATGAGATCCTCCTCAATAAGTGAGAGAGAGTAAGCATCAACACTTCTGTACATTTTGGCATCTTTTGAGATGAAGTTCACACCTTTCCAGTTTACTTATTCCACCTCCAATAGTAAAAAAGACTATAAGAGTTTTGAGTTGTTTATTAAAATATTATAATAAGAAAATAGGAGAAGGAATCTTTCAAAAATGAAATATCTGTAACATTCAAGACAGACATGGATTTTTATTTTTTTTTTTTTCAAATTTGGTTTTAGTTTTGGCTTTCAGTGTACTGTGTTCTGGTCACCTAAGGTCAGGAAGGTATCTTCACTGATTCAGTACGGCACTTGGCACCACTATGGAATTGTGAGATATATTTAGAACCATAGGGTAAGACAGAAGTCAGCTTTAGAATATGCATTTTTTTTTCCATATCATCATTCATATTCCTAAATATAATCATACTACAAATACATTGAAAGTCTTTGTCACTTTGTCACTTAGTGCTTTGCCCTTAAACTTTCTAGTAACAAACAAACAAAGAAACAAACAAACAAAAAGAAAGGAATTAAAAAAGAAAAAGAAAAGGAATAAAAGAAGAAAAAAAAAATTGCTATTAGAAAAGTAGCTACTTTTAACTCAGTTCTTCCTATCCTGAAGAACATTTCAGAACTTCATTCCTCTTGGAAATACTTATTTTTTTACTGGTAAAATTAAAATTAATTGCAATGTTAGTAATTAACACTCTAATTTCTGGTAACTGCAAATTTTTAAATCAGAATTATTGAGAATTATGAACAATGTTGTTAGACAGTGATTCAATAAAATACACTTTGACAAAAAAAAAAAAAAAAAGTCTTCAGAAATAAAATGCAGATATTCTTACCTCAGCATACTAAAAGCAAAATTGAATTTTGTAAATTTAAAATGAAAAATTATGTATATTTCAAAGTGTATAATGGAACTTAATGATTTGTTTAACAGGATAAATCTATTTATCTCCAAATAGATTTTCATGATATTTCACTTGTTTACTAGATAAGGAGAATAAGGGAATATATCTGTTATTCCTGTGCAAAATAAAAATGGTATAAACATAAATTTATTATCAGGAACTTTTATATGAATAGATGCATGTTGCCAAGGTGATTTGTTGTTTTTTGTTTGTTTGTTTGTTTTATACCAAAACATTTTTACAATCATAATTCCAGGAAGGGAATATTTTTATTTAAGATATAGAAAAATAAGTTTTAATTTTTCTTCTTTTAGATAAAATTAGCATAACTAAGCATGGGTCTTGGATTTATATATATATATATATATATATATATATATATATATATATATATATTTTTTTTCCAAATTATGGTTCACTAGGAAAAAAAAAATGTAGCCAACTTTTAAGAAAAAATGCATAATAAATATGATTAATGCAACACACACACAAAAATCTTTTCACTGTTAAATAAGAAAAAGAAAGAGAAATTACATTTTAAGTGATAATTTTGAAGGAAATTACAATTATTCAATTGCCTGAGTATGTTATAGTTTTACCCTGCAGTTTGACATTCAAATGATTAGATCACATTTTGAAGTAATTATTTTACCTCTTTAATAACATTTAAAAGTTGCTAAAAGGTTTCAGATTTCAAGAACATGAAACTGTCTCTGTTTATCTGGTGATATCGGATTGAAAAATCAATGAATTAATGAAGTTAGACTTAAGACTGTGAAGAAGGGGGACCTCAGATGTCAGTGTGGAGGCAACAGACACAAGGAGACCATACTGTCAGCTTTATTAAATCCTGTATCTTGTTATAGAAATTAATATTTTTTTTTTCTGCTTTCAAACCATCTTGTACTTCAAACCATCTTGAACATCATAGAATGTTTCAAGACCAGGTTGAATGAGACCCTGGCCAACTTGATCTAGTGGGTGACATCCCTGCCTATGGCAGGGGGTTTGGAACTAGATGATCTTTAAAGTCCTTTCCAACCCTATGATTCCATGATTCTATGATTCTGTGATTCTATGATTCTACTTGCACAGAGAGATTCTATGATTCTGTCTGCATAGAATGTATGTAATGTGAAAGAGAAGCGGGGTGGGATAAAAGGTTGTAAGTTTTGTTTGACTTTCTCTTTGATTTGTTCCCTGACATAGAAATGTGATGTGCCTTGCATAGATTTCTTAAAACCTGCAAATTATTTCTTTACTAGCTCTAATACTTTTGATTCCAGTGACCCAGTCATGAGAGCAAACAAATAACACAGTATCTATAATATCTAGTTATTTTATCTTTTTTATTATCTTATTGCAATTCTATATACACGTCTAAAATCATAATCTAAAGAAAAAAATATATATGAATTTAGATTTGTTTTGGTGCATTCTGAAGATACATGAGAGCAAGAAATTCTTGTTTGCTAGCAATTATTTTGGAGCAGTAGCTGGAAATATAACTCTTGCAGGCATCTCCAAGTTCTACTTTCACCTCCTTACACTCTATATAGTGGAAAATAGACCTTATTATTGTGTTATCAAGATCACTTAACAAAAGAGGCTTTGCACTGTCAGAAGCTTTCCAGTCCATATTCCTTTTCAGTGTTCTTATATTTCAATTGGATCAATTGGTATCACTACAGATATGCAAATTATACTTTATATATATTTTTATTTTATTTATTTATTTTTTTTTTCCAGGGAAAACTTGAAGAGTCTTACACTTTTCATCCTCCAGTCATTGATTTTTCTGTGTGGACACTGTGGTGAGGTGGTAAGTTGATTTAGATATATTTTTTATCAGTTAAAATGTCATTTCAGATTTAATTGGTAAAATACTATCCTTTTAGAGTTTACTGTGTCTGTGTAACAAAACTTGAGAATTGTCTTCCTTGTTTTCTTGGAAAACCACAAAATTTTAAGGCTACAATTAACTTGTTGTGTAGGAAGTCTGAGTTGTATCAGATTTAATCTATATTTATATCATATAAACAGCACATGTTCACATGTACTCACTGCCTACTTTCCAGAAATCCTAAGCCTCTGTATGTCTGGAAATCAGGTGATAACTGTAATTATTTACGTTGAGCTTGCATCCCTCAGCAATCTTTGATACTGACTTTTATCTTCATAGGTTTCACCCCACCCCATCCCCTACCCCTCACTACCACCACTATAGTATGACAACTGGATAAAGGCTTTTCTTTTCCTGAATACAAGAAAAACAGATAGATCTAAGAAGTGACTGTGTTCCCTGGCTGAGTAAATGTTATGTTTATATATAAACATATATATGTATAAATATATGTTTATAAATATTTCATATTTATTAAAATTATTTTATTATGTTTATATAATTTATGAATTTATGAGCTCAACTGATCTTGGCAACAAACTAATAACATGTACAACAGTCTAATTTATATACATTTTTTAGGGACAAGTGTGCTTTCTAAAAGAGATTTTTTATTTTTTTTTACTTTTAGACTCTTAGCAAAAATAACAGGAGTGATTGTGGTGGCCACGTTTCTATATGTTGACTGGACTAGTCATTGTTTAACTCACAATTCAGATAATCAAGGCTGTTGTTTTATGGTTTTATGTATTATAATTATTTTTTCCTGTTCTGCAGATGTTTAACTATCCTGAATATTTCATAGTCATTTTATTTTGCTACAGACTGAGAGTTAATGTTACTACTGGAGCTTGAGTACTAAAAAAATACATCTCTTGATCTTTCAGTGAGATGTCCTATGGCTTTTGCTGAGACAAACACTTTTTTTTTTTTTTAATGTGTATATATCCATTCATTAATAAAACCAGAATAAGAGTTTTACAACTTCAGTTGTACATCCTTATTATGTGAAAACAAAAATTGGCATTATATGGAGTGCATCAGTTGCAGAGCAAAGATGCTAAAATGTAGCATGAATTATTATTATTATTTACTTCTTTTATGTTCTCATTATTTTATGTTTTCATCATTTAAAAAATAAAAAGACTAAATCATATGTGATATTAAAATATAAAGATCACCCAGTCCTGAGTATGTTATTGTGTTAGTCTTCTGAATGGCTTCTGATTGTGATACCGATTGAGATATAATGTCATCTACTACATTTTTATCTGAAAACAAAAGTGATTTCCCACAAGCAGTGTCTATTTGAGTGATTATTAACAATAAAATTCCATTTAAATAAATAAATAAATAAAGATAAAATTGAAAGATTTTTTTCTTGCCTTTGAAAAATCAGTAGCAGATTAAAGTATGATATAATCATGACATCTGGTCATCCTCTAATTTACTTAGATAAAATATAAATTACTTTAATTGAAAGTAATAGGATTATCCCCTCTTTACTCCTACTGTAAAATTCTAAATAATTTCCATGCAGTAATGTATTTTGCCCAAATTAAAAAAGCATGTTCTTAAATCCTGTTCACATTCTTAAACTAAAATCCAATAAATTAAAATCCAGTTCATGTTTTACTTCTCTTTTACTAGTGTTTATTCGATTAAATGTGAAGTTAAAATTATTATTTACATTTCACACTTATCCCTGTTATTTCACACTTATCCCCAAGATACAGCTGCTATTTTCTTTTGAGACAGTAAACCTTGAAAAAAGGTATTTTCTTATAATTTTCTGTCTCTTTATCATTCACAAGAAATTTATTTGAATTAATCAATTATAATAAAAAGAGAATGGGAAGAAAATACTGGAAATAAATAAATGCATTACTCCAACTTATACCAAAGTTTTTATTATTTTAGCTTTGTTTTACAATTCACTTTTATAATTCCTAATTTAATGTTAGATATACAGTGAAAAACAATTTTCAATGTCCATATATTGTCTATTTCAAATGTTACGGAAAAAATCATTCTGAATTAAGCAAACTTCATATCCTGCAGATCTCCTGCATGTGTAAACTTAAATGAACACAAATTTTAATGATAATTGAGGTACTTCCAAAGGGAGAAAATATATCCTCATGATTTAAAATAAATGTCTTGTAGTTTATTAAAAATTTGGAAAGTGTACATATAAGCAAATAAGATGCAATATTTTACCTTTGTTGATCATAGGGAGAAAGAATAAACTTTGTAAGGTTATTTTGATAAAAATTATATTATAAGTAATAATACATGAGTATTAAATTAATGCATTAAAATTCTAGCACTGGCAGTTTTATAACATAGCAATCCAAAATTACAGCTTTAACCTCTATGCCACATTTCTGAAGACAGTCTAGATTGGTTGAGTTTGAACATTAACTTGACAGCTATTTAGTTCTCTGAAATGTGTTGGTGGAGTGAGTTCAAATGCTGAAGATAAAGAACCAGATTACAAAACAATTATGTCTTATGACAATGATTCACATCTTGCACATTGACCCTTCACAGGGTCAATGCCCAGATGTCTGTAGAGTCAACTCTACCTCAAATTAAAAATAGGTCTTGTGGATCAAAATTGTACATTGTGGAAAAAATAATCATCATTCCCCACACAGCTGACAGTACTTTAATTGTGGTTAAAAAAATCCATTTCATTTAGCCTCTTACATCAGCACAAAAGTCACTTTACCACTTAATTAAGTGGAGAAATTATGGAGAAAAAGAACTAGGGGGTAAGGGAAGATCAACTGACACCATCTACTTGGACTTGTGAAAAGCATTTGACACTGTCCTGCATGATATCCTTGCCTCTAGATTGGAGAGACATGGATTTGATGGATGGACCACTAAGTGGGTAAGGAACTTGCTGGATTCCTTTCGCACTGAAAGTGTTGCAGTCATCGGCTCTGTGTCCAGTAATAAGTGGTGTTCCTCAGGGGTCAGTACTGGGACTGGCTCTGTTTAAAGTCTATGTTGGTGACATGGAAAGTGTGCATCCTCAGCAAATTTACCAATGATTTCTCTGTTTTTTCATGCTTCTGTCATGAAGCTCTGCCTAAGGAAATAACACAATATAGAGTCATTATTTATGTTATGTTTTTGGTATATTTATAGACAACATACATTATTTGATGTAAAATTTCTGATGTTTTCTCTAAATGACATAAAACTCGCTGCAATTTCTGCTAATTCAGAAGTGTATTTCAAAGAAACAGTGTGTATTACAACTTTTCCACTGACTTTTCCTTTGAATTATTTTGAGTACTTTTCCCTTTGAGTGATGAATTTGTTCTGCTCCCTCTCTTTCTTCACTTGCTTAAATATTTATCTGAGATAGTAATAATAATTATAAAATGTAAGTAAGCAGCTGATAGCATACATATTTTTGTTGCTGACAAATTCAATTAAAGACATTACTAGCTAAACCAATTAAATAACAGGTAGCTCAGAAAAGCTCAGATCTGAATTATTGTTTCCCATAATAATTTCCCAAGTCATTAAGTTCATAAAAATCTTTTGAAACTGAAGCTCATAAAAATAAATTATGCCTTGGTAGTTTGTGGGTATTCTAGAGTGTAAAGCTGTGTGACTCCCATGCATAATGTTCCTGCTAATATTGTCCAGGTTGAAACAAAACTATAAATAGTATCTAGGTATTTTCATTATAAATGACTATTTTTAGGACTAGCTCTAGTATGGAAGGTTTCCCTAATCTCCCTGTCACTTGCCCCCCAAACATAACATTTTCTCTTCTTTTTTTATTTTGAACTCTTTTGGAGTGTTTATGAATGAAATAACAGCAGTCTTAATATACAATAACAAATAAAATCACTGAAATAAAGCCAGTAGCTTTTGAAACTCAGTAATTCAAAAGAGAGTCTAGAGAATTCTATTTCCAAAATTGTATTGTGAGTTCAAATTTTATCATTAAGAAAAATGCAAATGCTTGGGGGGAAGGGGGAGGTCTTGAGATTAAGATAGGGTGAAACTGTAATTTAAACATTTAGTTACTCTTTGATCAAACCTATTAAAAGCAACTAACCTAAGCCTAAACTAACCAGCCACAGAATTCTACAACTACGTAAGTGGGAAACACTTACAATGTAAACACTGTTTTTTGTTTGTTTGTTTGTTTTAAGAAGTATTTTAATGCACAATGCTGATTCAAAGAGAGTAAAGCTTTTCTTCATGAAAATTAAGAAAATCATTTTCTTCTGAAGAAAAGCAAGCACAAGAAAAATAAATAGTGTAAACTAGGAGAAACTGCTGCGCATCCAGGGATTATAAGACAGAACTACTGGGAACCAGGTGGTCATTCCTCTGCAGTTAAAATGTCTTCTGTTACCTCACTGTCTTGCGCATGGAGAAATTAAACATATGTCTGTTAAAATATCTGAAGGAAAATTTATATCCACTGAAGCTCAAAAAAAATTACTTCACATTATTTTTTTTCCCCCAAGTCTTTTCTACCAGAAAAGAAAGAAAAAGAGAATGCTTTGTAACCACCAGGTGTTGACAAAACAATTTTCACCTCCCCTGCTTCCACACAAATGTGGAAATATCTGATGTATAATTACTCCAGAACAGTAATTAAGCTCACATTAACCAAAACAACTTCACAGTCCACTACAGATGCTCATTAAGGTGAAGAAAGGTATAACTCTGCCTTTTTCAATTCAAGCTGTTTTAAAAGAGGCATGGGATACTGACTATTTTGCTTATCCTATGGGATAAGCACAGCTTCCTTTATAAAAGCTTAATTTTAGTAGAAGAAAAATGCTGTCTACTACATCTTTCATTATTCATGCTTTTTTTTTTTTTTTTTTTTTTTTTTTTTAACTGTAACATATTTGATGAGTAGGTTTCTGAGAGGG